AGAGAGAGAGAGAGAGAGAGAGAGAGAGAGAGAGAGAGAGAGAGAGAAATAGTTGTTTCCTGCATCATTAATGCTCTAAATATTAAATTTAGCACTTTTAAGTTAAAGTAACAACACAACATAAGAAAAAAATACTCCATTACAAGTGAAAGCCCAGAACTCAAAAACTTTACCTTGGTAGGAATACAAAAGTATGACCTGAAAATGTACTCAAAGTAACAAAAAAGTACTCATCATGTAGAATGGCCTGTTTCAGAATGTTTTATCATTATGTATATTTAATTAGTAGATCATTATTATTGATGCGTTGACATTGTTGTCACGGTAAAGCTTATTTTTTACTTGTATTTAAATCTAACAATCTAACAAACAAACATCATTGGGAATGCCCAGGTTAAGAGCAGGTACCTCAAGTACCACAGAGTACATTAACTGTAATGGTGAGAACGATAAAATAAATATGACAAACAATACTCTTGCCCCATAAAATTTAGATTTGCTGTCAAACGTTAAGTGGTGGTTGTGATTACAGTTATGTGCGATTTATGGAAAAAAATAAGAAAGAATTCCATATTAATGTGAAACATGACATAATAATTAAGTGACACAATAATACAAATAAATGCAACATTGAAACAATACCCACTTCACTTCAAGAAATACGTGTTTTGCTACATTGTTTCTTTTAATTTGTGTTTTTTTCCAATTAACTCGTGCCTCGTGACGTCAGGCACTTTCTCTGCTGCGCTCGCTCGCTGTGCCTCTCTCTCTCTCGCTCGCTCGCGCTCCCTCACTCCGCGTGAAACAAAGTGTAGTGTCCGCGAGAGCCCGTAGGAAGCGAAAAGAGAGAAACCGGAGAAAGGAGAGAATGGAGCGGCTGAATCCACAACAACAGGAGGAATAATAACCCACGAAAAAAAAGAGAGAATTAAAGAAGACTGAAGACGGAGGAGAAGAGGGAGAGAACTCGCAGGAAAGAACTTTTTCCGGGGGGAGAAAACTGTTATAGACTCAAACGCGGCCACGTTTTAAAACATGGATACACTTTTCTCCGTATTCCTGGGACTCCTGTTTCTCCTTTCGGCAGTTGGTAACGTCTCCGGCCAGATACCGACAGGTAAGGACGAACACGGGGAAAATAAGGCAGTTAATGGTGTTTCCTGTTTGGAAAGTTTGGACTATTTTTCTCGTTTTTTCTCCATCCGTGTAAGCGTATGAATCTGTTGGACAGGTGTGTTTAGGTGCAGGAGAAAAGTTAGGTTCCGTGTTGAAAATGTACCGTCGTGTCTATTTTATCGCTTTGTGGCAAAAAACAACAACAACCCTCTGATGCGAAACATTCAGGATTCGTGGAGTGAATGAGCTTCTTTTTTTTGCCACTGCTTGCTATAATGCGAAAGGTTTTTCTTGCGTGTCGTAGGTTCTTTAAAAGCTTCTGTGAGACAGTCGGCTCTTGTTTGAACTCAGCCTGTTTGACAAGTAGGTCGGTTTCTGCTTCCGCATAACGACCCAATAGTTTGGTTGTGAACTCTTATCTTCAAGGTTTCAAACTAATTAACAATATTTCTTGCAAACATGAATACAGCGTGCATTAGAAGCAGAGTGGGGCGCTTGTGTAGCGATAGTAAACACCGTTCCGTTCCGTGCCGTGCCGCCGCCTCGCGAGCGGCGCGCGAATGGAGGAAAAAAAAAGTTACGGAGATCGCCCACTAATAACTACAATATCCACAGTTACTGTCCCGGTGATGACTTATACTATGCACGCTTTTCACAGTGATCTGGTCGGTGTGGTTCTCTGTAGTCTGTGGTGTGTTTAAAGTCTTCAGAGAGGACTGTTGGCTCTTCTGTACGAGGCGATGGTCGGTTCGCATTTTGGCTCTTTTGCAAACCAAATGATCCTCTTCTGCTCCAACTTTATTCGCGCTGAATGCAATAAAACCTAATGGTTGAGGGAATATCGCCTATACGCCGATTGCCTGTTTGATCGCATGTATTTTTCTTTTTTTGCGCCGCGTTGTTTAACTTAAGGGAGAGATCAAGAGGAGTGTTTATTCCGATCTTTTATACAATCTGAACCTGTGAAGATTTATGATGTCAGATGTGATTTTTTTATGGGCTGCCAGCAATGCGGAGGGCATGAACCTAAACTCAAAAATAGTCCTAGTTAAACTACATGCAACCCTGTGCACGACCATGACATTAACACTCTTCAATAAAATTATCAGTGGATGCATGGGACCTTTTCTCTTGGACTTTAGTTTAAACAGTGACCCGCTTTGCAAAGTGTCTCTGCTCCCGTTTCGTCCGTTATGCGCTCGATCGAGAGAGAGAGAGAGAGAGAGAGAGAGAGAGAGAGAGAGAGAAAAACAAAGTCCGTATACATTTTTTTTTCTGCATCTCGCGCAGGCAAAACTCTCTCTCGTACCTGCGTCTCCGTCTGCGTGCACTGCTGTGGGTTTTATTTACGCATTCAGCAGTTTGTTCGTCTCTGAACTCCAACGCGCGCACACAAACACAGAGAGAAAGAGAGACCCACACAGCTATTAGAAAGCTCACCTCCAAAATCACACTTCAAACTATACAGGACCGTAATAACGGACACACCGCGCTCCATTGAAGCGCTGGAAATCACCAGAAATGGTATAAGAGCGTCGTTTTGTGCCCCAGCATTCGCTTAGGCTTGTTAATGTTTTGCATAGAAATTCCTCATTAATTACCACTTCATATGTGAACGTTTTATTGCCCCCCCCCTCCTCTTCTTTCCCTCCCTTGTGGCCATTTGGCCCTCTGGGTAGCAAATGTGTGGAATTTCTTTTGAGGCCTCTTTGGGGAATTTAAGTGCTGTTAATTTGCAAGTAAATACTAGCGACTTGATGCAGCCTTACAGAGGGTGGAGGTGGGCTATCGTTAGTGTGGGAAGGGGGTTGGGAAAGACAAGTTGCAGTTGGTTGTTTTGCAGAATAAAAAATAAAAAGTATACATGTCTGAATAAAAGCAAGCAACAGTGTTAATTTAAGGAAATCAGATGCAGGAAAATGATCGTTTGATTGCAATGAGAGGACCCAATTCCCAGGGGTAAAAGGGTTATTGCCATCCCATTCTCTGTTTACACTGTGAATCCTAATTGATGAGGAATTAGAAGACAATGGTGGATTCATCACATTCTCCTTGCATTTGATGCAAAGAGGGGGCAGAATGCATGCAAGATTTAACAGCCGTTTCCGCCACTGACAGCACTTTTATTTGATCACAACGGATGACGCCGATAGGGTTAATAGGCTGCTGTCAGTGTGAACTGTCACTGAGGAAAAAGTGGTGATCATTAGATCCGAAGCCAATAATGAGAGATGTGTGTTGGGGTGCAGCATCAGCAGCCGTTGCTCTCTGAAATCACTGACAAGGACGAGGAAATCAGTGGCACTGATTTAAAACCGTCCATCACATTTGAACAAAGTCACTTTGAATTTGTGTTGAGAAGGTTTTTCCTCTAAATCTGTCTCATTTCCTTCTTTATCTTCTTTCCCCATTTAGAAAGTCAAACTATAAATTAAGGCATTTATTCAAATCTGCCTCTCCCTCGTCTCTTCTTATCACGCTGTTTTGCGGCAGTTTTGTTTTGGCCTATCGCTTACACAGCCAGTGTAATAAATGTGAACGGATGTAGCCGAGTTTATGTTAATTTGACAACTTTCTAAATCTGTCTCCTCTCTGATCGAGCTGTGACACAGATTCCGGGCGTCTTTAATCTTAATGAAGTGAAATAATTGTTTTCCATTAGCGTCTCCAGACGAATTAGAAGGCTGTCGCTGCTGCTGAACACCACATCTGAGCTGGTTTAATTATAATTGTAAATTATTTTAGTATTTTGAACATTAGGACCAAGTTGGTTTGATTATAATTACTTTTTGGCTCCATTTGGAAGCTGAAAAAAAATTGTGTGTTTTCCCCCAGAAAGGCGAGAGAAAAAGAGAGTGATAGTGAAAGGAGGAGGAGGAGGAGGAGGAGGAGGAGGAGGAGGAGGAGGAGGGGGTAAAAAGAAATGCAACCATTGGTTTTTTGGCCGTGGGCATCTTCTCCACTCAAGAGACTGTGAAAATGGCAGCAGGGAGGGAGTGTGTGAGTGTGTTTCTCTGTCATGCACTGTGTGTGTGTGTGTGTGTGTGTGTGTGTGTGTGTGTGTGTGTGTGTGTGTGTGTGTGTGTGTGTGTGTTTGTTTGTTGAGCACATGTGTGTTGCTGTCACTTAAAGAGAAAAGAGGGAGGCCGATGCTTTTAAGCCCTCCGGAGTACAGTAGTACAAAGAGGAGCATGTGGAATGTTTGCCTCTCGTTCACATTCATGTGAAACGGCCTTCTCATTCTACTCGTGCCATGTAACATGGCACCAAATCAAAGAACGCTTTGTTTATTCTCTCTTTTATAAGTAATGCTTCAGTCCGCTGTCTTTCACATCCATCTTAATGTCTTCTCTTCAAATCAAACGCCACTTTTGCACCAGAGCCTGTCTGTTTCTACAGATTTCAATTTAGTGATATATTTTTAAAAAAAAAAACCCCATCTCTTTGAAATTACTGGCTCATATCTTCAGTCGTTTGGGGATGAAGTCTGTGCGCACACAAGCATGCGAGTGTGTGTGTAAACGTAATTAATCTGTTGAGAGAATTCATTAGCTAATCCGTCATTAGACTGTGTGAGTGTGTGTGTGTGTGTGTGTGTATGGATGTGGATGAATGAATTTGGAGGTTTGTGTTGAAAAATGGATTAGCGACACAGCGACTGTGCAACCTTTAGCCTTTAGTTAAGGATGAGGGAGAGTGAGAACATGACATGATTGACACATGATTCAGACTCCATACACCACGCTGTGCACAAGAGGACGCTTTGGTACTCATGAGAAGAAACGTTGTGACGTTCAATGCCATTTTTGGCAAATTAAGACATCTGAATTGGTCTATCTTTATGATGATTAATGGTATATGTACATTATTAATGAAGAACCAGAGCTCTGATACATCATGGTGTGACATCGCTGCTTCATTTACCTGCCTTCATAGACCTTCAATTAATCAGTTACTTGAGCTACCCAAGATTAATCTTTGATTGTAGCCATTTTTCAAACAATATGCCAAACATTCACTTGCTCTTTGTTGCAGTGGTTTGCAGTTTTACACAACTGTAAACAGAATATCTTTAGGTTTTGAACCATATTGAAGACAAAACATGCAATTTTTCAGACGTCATCTTGGGCTTTGAGAAACTGATTGGCATTGTTTTTCACAATTTTTGAAATTTTATACATTAAACAATGACTCCAGAATATAATCAGTAGGGCGGCCCCCTCTCAGTTGATTACTCAACTAATTGGCTGTTTGTGTGATTATTTGTGGAGAAACTCAGTTTTACATTGTTAGTCGACTGAGAATTTCACTGGTTGAGGACAGCCCTAAAAATGAGCACAATCGGTAATGAAAACAATCATAAGTTGTGTACAAACTGTGAGAATATGGTAAAACGTGTCTTAAAGCCTGAAGGGGAAATCTTTGTCCAACAAAACAAAAACAAAGATTCATTTAGAAATGATATATCAGAGAAAAGTAGCAAATCATTACATTTGAGAAGCTGAAACCAGAGAATCTTTGAATTATTGCTTAGAATAAATGAGTCAAATATCAAAATATCTGCGGATTAAGTCTCTGCAGCCCGACTAATTGATTAATCAACAAATTTTGCAGCACCTTTTGATCCACATGAAGCCTGTGCTGTTTAACATGCTGTTGAACAAGGACCTCCATCTAGTTGTGCTCATGTAAAACTCCGTTATTTTTAGTCTTTCTCTCTGGTGGAGTAGATACAAGGCCCAGTGAGAAGCAGCATGACATGAAGACATAGTCTTCAGTGGAAGAAGCAGGTACTGCAACATCAACCTTTTTTACGTCTTCACTTCTTTTTCACCTCAGGCGAGCTGATAACTCAACAGTTCAACTTTTCCTCATTAGATTCTGTTGTTTCCATTCAGGCAGATTATGCACAGTTTGGAAAATTAACATTAAAACAGGTTGATGGAAATGTAGATACTGTTACGTGATTGGTGTGAATCCTCAGTCAGCGAGCAGGAAGTGCAATGCAAGAAAGTGTGAAAGTCTCATTGGAAATTAAGGGAGGCAGTGCGTCCAAAACAAATCCCCATCCCCGAAATATCACATCCCTGATGAATGATGGTATTAGTCCAGTATCATCAATCTCCGCTCTGCCCTGTTTGGCTCTGGTCACAGCTGTCGGTACAAGGGGGCCTAGAAACACCCCGCTGCCTCGCAGACACACACTCACACACACGCACACTTACACACATGGCTGGCTAATGACAGATTAAGTAATCAACACTCTCAGTTGATTAATTACATTACAGTGCATACACGCACACACACACACACACACACACACACACACACACAGTCTCTCTTTCCCACACACACACAGATGTGAGCTGCATCAGTACCAGTTGTGTAGTCTTGTGTGGTGATAATGATATTTAAAATATAGTCTTGGCTGGTGTGTGTGTGTGTGTGTGTGTGTGTGTGTGTGTGTGTGTGTGTGTGTGTGTGTGTGTGTGTGTGTGTGTGTGTGTGTGTAAGGGAGAAAGGGTTTGAGAGAAGTGGCGGCAGGTGACGACAGTCTTGGGAAAATGCTTATTTTTAGGGTCACCGTGAGGTGAAGGGTTGAGGTTAGGCATCGGGTGGCTAAAGGTTGGAGTTTGTGTTAGGGAACATGTGCAAGTCAACAGATTGTCCTCACTACTTTTTTTTGATACAGATATGTTTGCTTTTATTTTTGTATGATTTCGGAAGCTGTCGGTGCATTTGGTTGCTGCTGCTGAGCAGAATTTGTACATTAAAAATGTATTTGTTATTTATACTTTACTTTATAGTACGTCATTGGTTTTGCTCTACTTTTGAGTCTTTCTTCAACTTCGTTGTTGTCTTCACAATGATACCCCTTAACATATAACTACATCAAACTTAAGGCAATGCCATTCAGGCAAGATATTTTCCACAATATGCGTTCGCTACAAGACCTTTTATTTTCTGCAATAATCCAATGGAAATATCCCGTTGGATTTTTGACGAGGGAGCTGGTGCGATGCTACAAAAATACGTCATCCCTGCGCCGCTCTGTAACTGCCTGAATAAAAACACAATCCAAAATTGGAATTGAGATCATAAACTGTTCCGAATATATTAAGAAACGTACGTGCTTGGTGTCAGATACGGGACAGTTTTTGATACTTGTTGCTATGAACATAATTAAGCTGGTACCAAAGGGAAGTGGTAGTCCTTCAAATATATGCTGAAACTAAAAGAACACAGCTCTTTGTTTCTTCTGTATGTGTATATAAACCTGTGCATGCTTTCCCATCTAACTCTGTCTTATTATCCTCTGCTTTGCTTCGGTTGGACCCAGCTCACATGGGGCGCGCTGAGAAGGGTGAGTTACGAGTGGCCGGCCAAGAGCTGAGCTTCATCCGTCATCGTCACCATCATCGTCATCGTCATCGTCATTAGTGTTGTCATCGTAAACCCACAGTCTTCACATTAACTGTCACCTGAAGTTCTTTTCGATGTGTAGACGTCCTTTTGAAGTGATCTAATTGTTTCCTCATCCACAATCATCCCGCCTTCCACCGACCATCCCACTTAGACTTCATGCTCATAGTAATATTCTAAAAGACGGTGTACAAACACCTTTATAATCCAGTATTAAAGTGCAGTTTGCAGAGATTTTTAGACTGTAGGACCATGAACTATTTGGTTCTTGCTGGAACCATTTGATGAAATGTCAAAATGGTTTCAGTGCCTCTCAGACGTTTGTCTGCAGCTATTCGCTCCCTGGGAGTCATTTTGACCAAGTTGCTTCTAATCGATGAAACCTTTGAAGCGCTCTTGCACTGGTTTGCAGTTGTCTGTCTTTGTGAGCCTGCCGACCTGTCTGTCTGGTAATCTACGTGCCATTTGTCGGTGGGTCTCCCCTGCTGTGTTCGTCTGTCTCTGTCTGTCTTTGTATAGTCAGACAGCTGCCGGGAGGTTTGAAGTTTCCAGGTGCTGTTTGTTCAGTCGAGCCTGGTCTTTAATAAAAAGGGAGCTCTGAGTAACTTTGTTCCTGCAGCATCCGACCACACACTTCTTCTTCTAACTGTCCACTTCGGCAACGACACACCCGCTCATTCTGTCTCACACGTATCCTCTGTCTCCCCCCCCCCCCTCTCTTGTCTTTCTCACTTTCCCACAAACACTCACAGTGGACGGTTGTTAATGAGGGAGTTGTTTTTTGGTCGGTTGGTAAAATACTCCGCAGTCACTTCACACTGCAGGGTCTCACAGAGACATCACTGTGGAGCTGTGGAGTTTTGGTATCCCACAAGGCCTTGCTGTGTGACAGAATCAAAGCAAATATAATGTTGTTTACGTGTCTATTTACAAAAAAATCAAAGGCAAATAAATCCACAGTGAAGGTCACATTCTGGTTAATCCTCAAAAACGGAGAAATAAGCTTTGATTTCTTGTATGAGTGTGGGAGTCAAACACAGGATATGCTCCAAAACCCAAATGATTTAATACAAAAATAATAGAGACCTAATGAAAGCCCAGCGAGGCAGAAATGCTGTCGGTTCATATTAAGCAGGACAGGTTCTTGAAAAGGGGATTTGGCAGGTTCTACATCTGCTCTCACTAATCTCACTAGATCACACTCGACTGAGAGTTCTTACCTGATAGTTTGTAGATGAGGTAGAAATTAATAAAGCTGTAGTTTTTTAAAGAATAGGTGTCATTTGAAGTTGATTTGGTTTATTAGCTGTGTATTTGCTACATATCTCCATTCATTCAAAATCTAATTTAAAGCAAGTTCTGTCATTTTATTTTCCTATTGTGAATAACTCACAACTCCAAAGACTTAACATCCTCCACATCCAGTCAAGTTTTCAATTTCCCATCTGCAGTAAATCTCCAGTTTTCCTATTCTAACTGAACTGTGTCCCACATGTTCGGCAACTGTTTGATGATGCTATGGTCGGGACATTCTTGTGACTCAGTTGGTTAAAGTGTAACCAGGCGTCCTCGCTTGAATCTGTTTCATACCCTCTCTTGTCTTCCTCGTCTATGAACTACACAACACGTGACAAGATGCCCCAAAATAATCTTCGTGGAGTATTTCAATGGGAAGTATGACTTTTTAGGGGCATGTGCCTTTAAAGTGTCCTTGCTGTGGCTATTTTTGTCACCCTCAAAGCTCCTAAAGAGACACTTTAGACAAATTAAGATAAGAATACTCCTCTAAAGTGGCAGGAAACATCAGAATGTGTTCAAGAAGACGCTCTTTGTTTTATTTTGCTTTAGTTTAGGCAGCATTTTCTTTGTCTCTACGTTGATTAAATGTGACAACAAAGCCGTGTGTGTGTGTGTGTGTGTGTGTGTGTGTGTGTGTGTGTGTGTGTGGGAATGAGCCTCTTCATGTTAACCTTCAGGTGGACTGGCTTTATAGACATGACCGAAGGGCTCGTGTGTGTGTGTGTGTAGCTAAAGGCAGTGGCTGAAGTGGTTTCCATTAGTCCAGTTAAGACGACATCTGTCATGAAGCTGTACACACACACGCATACACACACACACACAAGTAGCCATAAGCAATCTCTGTGCAGTATACCATATCGAGTCTCATTCCTGATCTCTGTGTGTCGTCCAATGATAAAATCCCAGAGGACATTCTGCTACAGTCACTTTCAGCCACAGCGTGTACATCCTGGTATCTAAAACAGACACTCTTTTTACTGTTCTTACACTCCTTTCCAATAACCCTCTCTTCTGCCCTTTAAGCTGATTTCAGTTCAAGAGCAGTAGAAAGCTTTCAAGATATATAAACCCACTCTGTGTTTGTGTGTGTGTGTGAATCAGGAGCTCACAGACGGATGACCAGTCCATTAAGATTAGCGTCTCCATCCCAGACCATGTATCTTCACATCACCATGATGCTGGTCCTCTAAGCGGAGATTTAAATCTTCTAGCAGATATTCCACAGCTATCTTTTTCCCCTCTAAATGATGTTACACATTTTATCTGTCTGTCTGCCATCCTAATCTGTCGTTTGGTCTGTCTGTCTGCCAGCCAGCGCGTGTGTGTGCGCGAGTGTCCGTCCTGTCTGCAGATGACTGCAGACACATGGTCAGCCTGACAGCCTTTGCCTGCACGTATACGCAGACAGTCAATCACTCCAGCAGACAGACACGTGTGTGTGTGTGTGTGTGTGTGTGTGTGTGTGTGTGTGTGTGTGTG